GGGTTCCTTGTTATCATTATAGTATAGTATACCCCAAACTTGATTTTTGAGATACTTGCAGCGTCGCAAGAGAAAGTCGAAGAGCTCAGGACCCCTACGCCCCAAAAGACCGAAACAAAGACTTCTCCCCTAAACCCTAAACCCTAAACCCTAAACTAACCCTAAACCCTAAACCCTAAACCCTAAACCTCTCTCATTGGATTTGGCACCTGAAAATCTGAAAACCCTAAACCCTAAGCCCTAAAACGCAAGGACTTCAAACACCCAAGGACTTCAAAGAACCCAAGGAGTTCAAAGAACCCAAGGACTTCAAAAACCCAAGAAATTCAAAAACCCAAGGACTTCAAAAAACTGGTCTAGATCAAGCTGCAGGTATGCCCAAGAGTGCATTCCAGTCCAGCGTCACGTGTGTTTTTCCAGCGCTCACCTCGCTCTTGACATCAATATTGCCTTGGCCAGCATACCCTCAAGCCTCAGGCTTTAAGCAGAACAGCCCCCCATCCACACCCACCCCCACCCTCAAAATGAAAGAGAAGAGCCACGTAAAACCTAAACCCTCAACCCTAAAAGCCCCAGGCTAAAAACTAAACCCCCAGGACCTTAGGCAGTGCTTTCGTAGAGATGGTCGCTGCTGGGTCTTAGGGGCTAAAAATCTAAACGTTTGAAGCTGGAAAGGGCTTAGGGTTTGGGGTTTTGAGGTTTTGGGTTTAGGGCTTAGGGGTTTAGGAAATCGTAAAAGCTGCGGACGCAGGCGCGACAGCCTCTTGACTTTCCAAGCCCCTGTTCAATTTATATAGAACCCCTTGGTTTTGATCTACGGGGCAAGTGCTCCTGAACTCAGGGATTTCAGAATCAGTGAAATCCGAAAGTCCCAAAACTAGGATTCTTAGGTTTGGTCTGCACAAAATCACAAGAGAAAACATGTGCTTCAAAAGACGTAGTTTTTCAGCTCGAGGAAAGCTAGACTTGCTCTAGCAATCTTCAATCGTCCTGAGCTCAAGAAGCACAGAAATACGTACAATTGATAAACCAACTCCTCGGATTCTTCGTTACTATAATAATAAAGAACAGAAATCATTCCTCAGGAGAGCCCAGCAACCTAGCCCCGGAACGGCTACCTTCTTGGCGATTTGAATGCGTGGCTTCCGCAGGTACCCGACGAGCCTGCAGATAGTTCCACGATCATATGAGTGGCCTTGCTGTCGTGTTCCTAAACCCTAAACCCTCTAAACCCTAAACCCTGGCAGCTTGCCACAAGCGATGCCAGAAGTGGTGTTCGTCTGCTGCTGGAGGCAATTGCTTCGACTCAATATTCTGCCCTGCTCTGCTTGTGTGCTTGTGTTCACCCTAAACCCCAAAACCCTAGTTGTGTTCTGAGTTGAGCTTCCATGCTCTCATCTGGATTCCGACGGTGTTCAAGGATTTGCGAGTTGCAGAAAACAGGGGACCCAATGATTCTAGGCCCTTGATAGTGTCCTCCTTATCCCAGGAACAACGACAAGGGACCCCGCATGCATCAAGCAACCCCATGTTTCCGAAAACAAGGGGTACCTTGTTTTGGGGTCTTACCATAAGGATCCTACTATTCAGGGTAGTATATTAGGGTCCCCTATTTTCGGAAACCCCCACATGAAATCCGCATAGGAAACCTTGTGAAGCGCTCCGAAGTGGCGGTTGTAGAGGCTCGGGTGCAGGCAAGCAGGTGACTAGAACCCCCCAACTACTCGGTTTGGGGTTTAGCTATCATTGTAACTGCTATTATAAAATGTTACCAACAACAACACCTATAATAATTATAAGTATTGTTGTTGGTATTATTACTACTATAATTGTTACTGTTGCTATTTTCGAAGACCAAGAGACACCCCGAGTAGGAGGCGGTGCTGCTTCAAAGCCCGCTGAGCTCAAGTTCTAAGATCTGATTCGCCGTAATCATCACATACGACACCCTCCCAAAAGACAGACAATGGTTCTTGCTAATCTAGGGGCCTTAATAATTAGAATAGGGTTTTGGGGCCCATTATACTATAACTATAATATGGAACCCCCAAACTAGTATTGGTAACTATTTAGGCGCCATATTCTCCGGTGCAAACCTGGCAGCCACAAGCCCTGAACGGAACGACAGCCACGAACTTTCTGCCGGCCAGAAGCAGCGCAGCTCCAATGCCTAGCACGGATGCCACGGAAGCCACCGCAATGTCGCGCGCAGCCATGACGGCGGGGCCAGATACTGAACCCGAACCCTCCGCTGATCTTTGATTTGGTGCTGTATGGATGCAGCCGGAGCATAGCAGGCTCAACGATGATGGCCATCTAGCGGAATCTAGCGTCTTTGGAGTTATAGCGAGGTTTGCTGTAGGCTTTTTAGCCGCTTTATAACAAGCTCCGACCTCTCTTGAATCAAGTTGCCCTTCCCTTGCTGCGCCGCTGAAGCGCTTCGAAAGCATTAAAATGCTGCAGTGCTAACATTCTTGCTCAAATGAAGGTCCTTTACCCGACCCGGGCCTCTGAATTTTGTAGGTTTGCGGCGTGGCAATCAAAGCTCGTGACCGCAAGGACCTCTCAAGGTCAACCCCGAACTCTAGACCCTAATTCCTACCTCGACCTCGATCCCCTGAACCGAAACGTATAAACCCTCTAAACCTTGACTTTGAATGAGTCAGCTACGACCCCCTGAAAGTGTCAAGCTCTATCCAAACCCATACAACCCCTACAAAATCCTAAAAAGTTCCCCTATAGCCTACTGTAGCACCCTCCAGTTAACACGATCTTCCTAAACCCTAAACCCCTAATCCCTAAACCCTCCCGGGTCTAGGAGCAGGGCGCTGGATCGATGTTGTTGAATTGGCACGAGGCCACCGTACTCTCGCCTTGGTAGGGCCTGGCCATTAGGGCTGCTGTAGGGAGGGTTTACAGGGTTTAGGGTTTAGGGTTCAGGGTTTAGGTCTTGGGGTTCGGAGGGTTTAGGGTATAGGGTTGCTTTATGGAGTCGAGTCTGCAAGGGATCTTGAAGGGTTCTAGACCAAGACCCCCGGGAGGATCCAAAGAGTAGATCTCCGAAGGAGGTTCCTAGAAACTACTCCCTCGCAGTGTAAGGTCCCCAAATCAGGGGATCGACTTGAGACCCTTTCGGAGGTTTGGGTAGCGTTGGTGATGATGCGTCTGTAAGGATTGCATATGGATTGCTATAAAGGGATCTGCAAGGGCGTTATAAAGGCTTACTAGCAGGGATCGAACCAATTCTGTAAGGCTTCAACTTTGGGGGATTCATTGGGCTTTAGGACTTTAGGTGGCTGAAGGGAGATCGGGGCAGTCGGGTGTAGGGGTGCAGGGTTTAGGGCTTCAGGTTTTGCGTTTAGTTTAGGGACGCACACAAGCTTCACATCGCAGCGCGGCAGCATCCATCACGCCCTTCAAACAGTCCGCCATGGGATGGGAGGCCGCAGTTGCATCGTAGAAGATGCCGTTATGCAGGCAGTGCTTGGCTCGCGCAGGGACAGGCATTGCATCCAGCAGCATGGAAGGCCCGAAGTATGCTTGCCCAAACACTGTCCTTGAAAAATCTGAAGTTTTTGGCACGCCCGCAGACGAAGATCCGGGGGGTCTCTCCCCGAGAGTAGCTCCGGGCAACATGCAACGCACCACTGCGACTATGCTGCCAGGTGTTCTGAACCCTAAACCCTAAACATCGCTGGAGCTTTCGGACCCCTCGGATTCGTCTAAGCTGCATCATCACTCGCAGGCGGTGGGATGCTAGGGCTCCACTCGGCCTCGTCGGTGATTCCTTGGACCCCGCGAGCTTCAGGGCTGTTCGGCTTCGGGTATCGGGTCTAGGGCTTCAGGGCTGTAGAATTTAGGGCTTAGGATTTAGGATTTAGGGTTTAGGGTTTAGGGTTTAGGATTTAGGGTTTAGGCTCTGGCTTTGAGGGCTTCAGAGGGCGTGGGCTCATGGGTTTCGGCTTTGGGGGCCTGAGCTCTACGCCCCTACTTGGCAGTTCATGGGTAGTCAAACATGGGGTCATAAGTAGGGTAACTGTACTTGTAACCCATATTAGGGGACTTATAACCCTCGACCCGCGAACCGCAGGCCCCAGTTAAAGAGCCCTTTGCGACGCCAATACAGGGGCCTAAATAAGTACCAATACTACTTTGGGGGCTCCTTATTGCCTTATTACAATAGTATAGTTACCCCAAAACCCTGTTCTTTTTATTAAGGCCCCCCATACTATAGAACCCATGGATCCCTTCTAGAACCCTTGAACGAACCCTTAAAGGAACCCCCGAAAACCCCCTATTCTAATGATTACGGCCCCTAAATTAAACCCTAAACCCTAAATATTAACCCTAATATTAAACCCTGAACCCTAAAAACTCTAGAAACACCAAGCACCTGAACCCTAAACCCTAAATCCTAAAATAAACCCTAAAAACCCCAAATATTGAACCCTCTAAACCCTAAAAACCCTAAAAACCCCAAGCACCAATATCAGCTCTCGAAACCGGGCAGATCGGCGGTCGGCACTCGACCAAACAGGCCTGACCGCCCATGACTCCTCAGGGGGTTTAGGGTTGAAGGTTTAGGGCTTCAAGGTTTAGCCCATGACTCCTCAGGGGGTTTAGGGTTTCAGGGTTTAGGGTTTAGGGTTGAGGGCTTAAGGGTTTAGGGCTTAAGGGTTCAGTGCTTCAGGGTTTAGGGTTTAGGGCTGAAGGGTTTAGAGCTTCAGGGTTTGGGGTTTAGGGCTTAAGGGTTTAGGGTTTAGGGCTTCAGGGTTTAGGGTTTAGGGTTTAGGGTTTAGGGTTCAGGGTTGAGGGCTTGAGGGTTCAGGGCTTAAGGGTTTAGGGCTCTACGGGTTTGGGGTTTACGGTGTAGGGCTTAAGGGTTTAGGCCTGGCTGCGCAGGCTTGGGTTTGGGTCTTGAGTTTTAGGGTTCAGGGCTTTGGGTTCAGGCTTTCGGACGAGGGGCTTGGTGTTGAGGATTGCGGGTGTCCGGATGGCACGTCTCCCAAGCCCTAAGTCTTAATCCCTACATAGGCTTTAGGGTTTAGGGTTTAGGGTTAGGGTTTAGGGTTTAGGGTTTAGGGTGTAGGCTCAAATTTTAGGGATTGAGGGTTTGAAGTTGCTTCTTCCGTTGCAGCTTCGGGGCTGGAGGCCCTTAAGCCTTGTAAGGCCTTGAGCGTTGCAATATAGGGGCCTTAATCATTAGAATGGGGCTTGGGGTATATTATACTATGGTCATACTAAGGAAACTCCCAAAACCCTATTCTAATTATTAAGGCATTATGTTAGGAAGACCTCCAAGGCTTCTACGACCCAAAGATCACAAGTTTGTAACTTCGGGCAAAAGGGTTCGGATGTCGGTGCTTTCGACATGCGCAAGGAGACATCAGAGGAGCACGGCACACCTAGGAGCAGGACCAAGTCGGGGGGCTCTTCTACGCTGGGTTTTG